GTCTAGCCCAATGACCGGTACTGTCCGGCAGGTCTGCTCAGTTTCAGTGTAGAGGGTCCGAACACTGATCTGCAGGTTGAAACGGAGGCCGTCTTTAAGTGTTTAGGGCCTGTTGGAACCACTCCCCTACCAGACCAAGTAAGGTTGATGATTTGTGTCTGACGACTCGACTGTCCCGAGGGATACGAACCCTCCCAAGGACCGGTGCAGACCGGCGGGCTGCTCGGTGTGGCACAGTAGGCCGGAAAGGCTGAGTTGTGGGCTGAAAGCACAGGCAGAACCAAGCTGATCATGTCGTCCTGTCTGCGACGTTAAAGAATTTTTGAGGAGTTACGGGGGATCTCCTTAAATGCCTCCTGATCAGCCACTGGTTCAGTAGTGACAGCCATAGTGTAGGTCTAGTCTAGAAACCATAGTTGACAGGATCACTGTCAGGATTCTGTGAGTCTTAGATTGAGTCAGTAGGTCTGTCAGTCAGGGGTTGACGTCTACGTGGTGAGGTTTGGAACCACTAACCCGGTTGTAAACTTATCACCATGGTTGAGACCCGTAGTGGGAAGGAGACTAGCCCCTACACCACTGAGCAGCAAGAAAAGATGGTCGCCTTAGTCAGAGAGAATAAGGAGAGGAAAGAGCGTGAAAAGCAAGCCAAGCTAAAGGCTATCGCAGGCGAGCAGGCAGCGAAGATGAAGAGACTGGAGGAGGAGATGAAGAGGGTACAACAGGAGGAGGAAGAAAGAAGGAAGGCTGCTGAAGCAGAAGCAGAAGCGGCCGCAGAAGAAGAGAAAGAGACAATGAGAATTAAGAGCGGAGAAGGAAGTAGTGGCACGAGGAAGGATACAGACGCGGAGATCGAAAAGAAGATCCACGAGTGGGTTGCTAACCTATCATTGGGGGAAGACAAAGAGGCGGGGKCATACGTGACTAAGGATGAGAAGGCCGCATTGGCCGCTGAGCTAGCAACCTTGACGGATCCTATGGAGCGAAGAGAGCGGGAAGACGAGCAAAAGTTGCAGTGGAAGCTGAGGATGAAGAGGGAGAAGAGGAGGAGGAGAGAAGAGGTGAACAAGATGACCTCAGCAGTGGCAAAAGTGCAGGAGTGTAGAGCGGAGGTATTGGCCCAGCCAGATGATAAGGCCAAATGGGACAAAGTACTGGGCTACCTAGAAGTGTTGAGTAAGGCCTGGATGGAGGAGCGCCATGCAAGTTGGAGCCAGGATGTAGCTTTGAGCGCCATGCGGTCTGGATTTAGGAAGTTTGCGCGCGAAATCGTCACCCACATTGGAGGCGAAGTCAAACAGTTGAGAGACAACGTGGGAAGTTTTGTGAGGGCGCCATTCAGGGTGCCAAAGCTGTAGCCACTGTAGAGGGAGAGGCCAGACCCCGTAAGGACCCAGTGAAACTTAAGTTCCCAGACGCGTACGGGGGAAAGAAGGACGAGAACTTTGACAACTAGGAGGCCAGTGTCAATAGTTACATTTACTTACAACATATCCTGATAGAGGAGCAAGTCCTCGTGGCCTTCCAGGCCCTGAAGGACGAAGTGGCTAACTTCGCCAGGTCTCTCGCGCGTACAGCTGGTTGTGAAAACAACCTGGTTGCATATTCCAAAGTCACTCCTCTTTCCCAATTCCTCAAGCTCCTCAAGGAGCGGTTCGCTGACCCAACACGAGGCATTAGAGCCTCTGATAAGCTCCAAACGATCCACTCCCGGCAGTGGAGGAGTGCTAAGGCACTCAAGGGTACTATGGACGACTTGGTAGCCGTCCCGGACCACGGGGKCACTGAGCCCCARYTGGTCCAGTTGTTTTATCRTGCCATTCCAGAGRCCCTAYGCRGGCATTTCTTTGACAAATCTCAGCAGGCCGGCATGACTTACGATGTATTGAGTAGAGAAGTCGTCCTGTATGAGTCGAAGTCTATGTCAGTTACCACTTTCGGGGATAAGGACCTGGAGAAGGGGAAGAAGTGGAAAGATCGTACCATCCCGGGCCAAGTCAAGGCCAAGGATCACTTGATCTTGACATTAGAGGAGGGTGGTACAGAAGAGGTCCCATATGATCAGATTGAGTGGGGCCTAGGGGAGGAGTACAGTTGTGTAGGGCAGGGGAGCTCTTACGCTGGTGTCGCGGCCGGAGGGAGGCCGCAAGGTAGAGGAGGAGGCCAGGGCCAAAGGGGCCAGGCCATGGGAGGCCGAGGACCGGGCGCACAGGGGGTTGGTGGACAGGGAAACCGCCAAGCGGGAGGTAGCGGTCAAGGTCCCCCGTTAAATCGCCAGGGTAACCGGTCCCCACAACGAGGAGGTGGAAGGGCACCTAAGGGAGGATGGCACCCAGGCTTGCCGCAGGGCAGGCCCTGGGAAGATCTGGGCTTGGACCAGCGCTTATGGCAGGAACGCGTGAACCAGGGTCAATGCGTATTCTGTGGTGACCCGGCGCACATAATTAAATTTTGTCCAAAGTATAGACACGCCTGCAGCTGCCAATAGGGGTCGCAACTGCCCCTACTTCCAGGCCATGTGGAGAAGTGAGCGCGCGCGAGCAGGACACTCCCAACCCACATGAGCCTATGGCAGAGGTTGCAGGCCCGTGCCTAGATAGCTGTCCAGAGACTGTTTGTGTTAGCGTCTCTTTAGGCACGTCCCTCACAGGTGTGGCAGAAGAGTTAAAGGAGAGGATGCCAGCCTGGGCCAAAATGAAAAAGGAGAGTAAGGAACAGCTGATCTTAGTAGATGTAGAGGTGCTTAGGAGAAGAGTAGGGGCCCTCATAGACTAAGGGGCTACCCGTAGTTATATTAGCCGTAGGGCGCTGAAGAAGCTGAGGCTAGGACTAAAGGTCCAGAAGTTAATAGACCGTATAGTCAGTGTTCTCGCAGACAATTGCACGATGCGAGTTGAGGACTACGTAGAGGGAGTCCAAGCATACTTTCTCCTAGAGCAGAATGGAAAAGTGGATAAGGTACTCCATTCTTTGACTCTCCTCATGCAGGACGACCTTCCTTTTGATGTAGTTTTAGGAATGGATTAGGGAGAGGCAGCAGGGGCCACACTCCAGTTGAGAGAGCATGAGTGTAGGCTCCCTAGTCCGTCAGGCGAGGCTAAGACTGCCCGCTTGTTCCATGTGTCTGGTGTAGACAACACCTTGGCACATTGTTGTCTCAGTGCTCCCGCGTTCGCGCGATTAGTCAAAAAGGAGCAGTTAGAGGAACAGGTCTTTGTAGTTTATGTATGACCTGTCACTGAGGCCCAAGAAAAGGATAGTTCCACAGATCCAACAATTGCCAAGCTGCTGGAAAAATTCAAAGACTTGACTGAGTCGCCGAGAGGAGTAGTGTCGCGACCCATCCAACACAGGATAGAGATAGAGCCTGGCAGTAGAACTCCTAAGGGCGCAGTCTATAGGATGTCCCCTAGAGAGTTAGAGGAGCTTCGCAAATAGTCAGACGAGCTCCATGAGAAAGGTTGGATCAGGCCCAGCTCGTCTCCTTTTGGAGCACCCGTCCTGTTCGTCCCAAAGAAGGAAGGAGAGCTACGTATGTGCATAGACTATAGGGGTTTGAATGCGATTACCGTGAAGAATGCTGAACCGGTGCCCAGGATAGACGATCTTTTAGATCGGTTGCAGAGGTGCAAGTATTTCTCTAAGATAGACTTAAAGTCCGGATATCATCAGATAGAGGTCCATTCTGATGACCAGTACAAGACTGCGTTCCGGACGAGA